AGATGGTGCTGGGAAGGGAGGTCGAGAACAGCTCGGAACCCTCACGCTTTCAGGCCAGGCCGAACAGGCGGCGACCATCCGAGACAGCTTAGAAGGACGGAGAAAGAGGAGGCGGAGGAGGGGAAGGAGGAGAGGATGGGGGAAGGGGGAGGAGGAGGAGTGGGAGAAGGAGGAGGTGGAGGAGAAGAGGAGGAGGGGAGGAGGAGGAGGAGGAGGGAGAGGAGGAGGCGGAGGAGGGGAGGAGGAGGGGAGGAGGAGAAGGCGGAGGCGAGGAGGGAGGAGGAGAACGAGGGGGAGGAGGAGAAGGAGGGAGGAGGAGGAGGAGGAGGAGGAGGGAGGAGGAGAGAGAAGGGAGGAAGGGACGACGACGGAAAAAGGATGTTGAGAGGGATGAGGAGGAGGATGAGGAGAGGATGAGGATGAGGATGATGATGATGATGAGGATGAGAGGAGGAGGAGGAGGAGGAGGAGGAGGGAGGAGGAGGAGGAGGGGGAGGAGGAGGAGGAGGAAGAGGAGGAGGGAGGAGGAGGAGGGGGATGGGGGAGGGGGCGGAGGAGAAGTGGGAGGAGAAGGAGAAAGAGGAGGCGGAGGAGGAGGAGGAGGATGAGGAGGAGGAGGGGGAGGGAGAGCCGGAGGCGGAGGAGGTGGAGGAGGAGGAGGAGGCCCTTTCTCAGAAGGCCCGCTGCCTTCTCAGAGGGCCGCCTCCCCTCGCCGAACCACGGCAAAGCACTGCGCGCTCAGAACGGGACCCGAAGACTCCTAGCACGGAAAGCCCATGCTGGTTAATCTCTCGATCTGTATCCACCCGTGGCGAAGGCGGGGGGGGCCGAAGGCCCAGGAACGGGAAAATGGATGGCAATCCTGATGATGATGATGATGATGAGGAGGAGGAGAAGGAGGAGGAGGTTTATGCTGCTGCTGCTGCTGATAATGATGATAATGATGATGCTGATGATGATGATGCTGATGATGATGATGATGATGATGACGAGGATGAGGATGATGATGGTGATGCTGCTGCTGATGATAGGCATCATGATGATGAGGAGGACGATGATTATCATGATGGTAGTTGTGCTGATGATGATGACGATGGTGATGATGAGGATGATTATGATGATGAATATGCTGCTGCTGATGTAGATGATGACGATGGTGGTGATGATGCTGATGATGATGATAATGATGATGATGATAATGATGATGATGATAATGATGATGATGATGATGATGATGCTGATGATGATGATGATGATGATGATGATGATGATGATGATGATGCGGCTGCTCCTGATGATGATGATGACGACGAGGAGAAGGAGGAGGCGGAGGAGGAGGAAGAGCCCAACCTGGCTAGTCTTTCGAGCTGCGTCCAGGCAGCTGTCGCGACGACAGGGGAGCCCCAAACCGAGAAAATGGAGGCGGATGAGGAGGATGAGGAGGAGGAGGAGGAGGAGGACGACGACGACGACCCAAGGGAAGACTTTCCTCCCTGCGGTCGGCTTTTGGGCAATAACTCCGAATCCCAGGCGGCCGTTCCGAAAGACTCGGGCACCCGCGGGAGGACCTCGACGAGGCTCCATCCCGAGCCCCCCCAGGAATCTCCAAGAACTTCGCCCCAACACCACCCGGAGCCTCCGGGAACCTCCAAGGAGCATCCAGGAGGAGGATGGAACAGGAGGGAAGGAAAAGGCTGATGATGTAGTCGCGATGGCGATAGAACAACAACGAGTTGCACAAACATCCTTGCGAAGGTCCGCGCGGATTTCTTGAGTCGGCGCTCCCCCCCCCACTCATCTGGCGCGCGGGGGGACCATCGCTGACCCCAGAAATGCGCGCAGACCTCCGAAAGTGTATACCTAAAGCCCCCTTTGGGAGGAGGGGGAGAAGGAGTGCGGGGAGGAGGAGGATAATGAGTGAGGCGACAGGAGGGAGTGTGATGCTGGCGGGCTGCTCATGCTTGAGGGTGGCTGGCCCCTGAAACCAGGATGGGTGTGATGATCGCCCTTCCTGAAGTGGCCCCTAAACACATGTTTCCAAACGACGGCGTAACGTCCCAGTGTTCTGGAGGTCGGAGATGGGTGTGGTATAATAGAGTGTGGTGCAAATGCTGAAGATGGCGATTTCATCTACGGTGGCCACAAGTGCGTTGCATCCCGATTTCAACAACGTTGGTTTTGCGTCGACCGCCTCGCACAAAGTCAGAACATATCATTCCAACTTCCGCAACGACCGCCACCCAACCTGAACGGCGACACAAACGCCCATTGTATGGTGCCCTATCGCGAAGCACGCGAGTCCAAATATGCCCGCACTTCCGGAATTCATTGCTGTGATCCCCGAATGTACGGAACGTCGTCTCGGAATTGGCGGAAGTATGCTCGATATTGAAACAACACTCTTTCTACATTCCAAGCTTTCCAGAATTACGTTTTTGGCAAATACGGAAATGCCGGAATCAGGCTTTTCGCGACTCGGAATTTCCGACATTGCGTGCTTGGTGATCGAGCGCCCTGGAACAGGTGCTTCTGCTGCTGTTCACGTAGGACTGCGGTCTCTCGGGGAAGCTGGAATCAGGAATTCTGACGTTGTTTGAGGCGGTCGCCGCAAAGCCAACGCTGCTGATGGTGGGATGCAACGCGCGTGCGGCTATCGTGAATAACATCGCCACTTTCAGCATTGGCACCACACCCTCGGATACCACACTCCTTTCCGGCCCCCAGGTGTGTGTGGACGACTTGCCGATCTGAGGGGCAAATCCCAGCGTCCGATACCTTGTGTGTCAACACGGGGCCCCCAGTAAGTCCCGACCTGTTTCCCCAGGGGCCCATGCTTCACCCCGGGGCCATGATTTGACCTTCTCGCGAGGCCCCGCGAGGGCACCCATGAACCCGAAGACGGCACGAGTCGTGCGTCAACGGTCCCGAAGCCAGGGACAGGCCCCCGGAGGCCACAGACAACGGAGCGCTTTCCGTCGCGACTTTTGGTTTGCGAAGGAGGGAGCAGCAGAGCGGAGGCGCCCGCTCCTCCCTGCACGGTGACGTGCTTGCTGCACGCGCGTGATGGTCTCTGAAGGGGGCAGAGAGCCCGACGATGGGAAGCTTACAGCGGCGAGGAGGGGCTGGGAATTCTGACGACGTCGTGGCTGCCCGACCCATGAGTCCCCTCTGCCGAAGGTGAACCGACTAGTGGAGTCGTGCTCGTGACCTCCTCCCCCCTCCTCCTCCTCCTCCTCCTCCTCCTCCTCCTCCTCCTCTTCCTCCTCTTCCTTGTCCTCCTCGTCCCCCCCTCTAGTTCCTGCTGCTGCTGCTGCTGTTGCTGCTGTAGCGCATGACGAAGAGGTGCGCTTGCACCACGCCCGCGTGGCATCCAAACCATGGCTCCCGAGTCCAAAAACGGACTTGGGAATTCATGCTCAAATTCCACGTGCAGAAGAGAAATAGGGAGCACCGCCACTGACAACCCAACAGGGGAACTGACCCCTGGGCGGTGGCACGCCTGAGCGTCCTCCTGTGCCAATGCGGCGCTCGGTACCGCCGCCCAGGGAGCGGCCCCTACTGAATAATGGGTTTTCGGTGGCGGTGGTCCATGTTTCTCCTCCTCTGACACGTCCAAGAAAAAAGCACGTCGAAGACATGTGTCGGAGCAAGGCGGCGTAAGACACGGGGGCATGAACATCGTTTCTTGGACCCCTCCCTGGGCCCAAACGAATCGACTTGCAGTGCTGCGTCCAGTCGCGACGACGAGGAGCCAACTACCAGCGTGTCGATCGTAGCAAACAACTGCATAAATACTGACGTTTGACGGTTCGAGCGGATCTCTGGGATCTGTGCTGAACCCCCCTCCCTGGCGCGCGGAACGCGCCAGGGGCGGCGCCGGAGCCGCCGCCAGGGGGGGCCCAGCGAATCCAAGAAATCCGCGAGGAGCGCCATGAGTGGATGTTTATGCCACTCCCTGATCCTCGACAATCGGCCCTCCCCTGGCTCTGGGAAGCGATCGGGGATCTACTGACCCGGGTCAGTCTACACCTGGGTAACTCAGGCCTTGCAGGATCGTGCAGGAGCCTGCAGGATCCTGCAGGATCCTGTCCTAGATCCTGTAGGATCCTGTCCTAGCCCGGGTCGGTGCACCCCTTAGGCGGCGCGCCCGGGGGAAGTGAGAAAGGGCGGGCCATCTCAGAAGGCTCGGAAGTCCCCTGGCCTTCTGAGAAGTGTTCTAAGCCTTACCCGAAGACACAGAGAACCTCCCAAAGGCCCGAGGCCTTCTGAGAAGCCCCGCCGCCTTCTGAGAAGGCCTTCTCCTTCTCACTTCCCCCCCTCGCTCGCCGCCGACCCCTGGCCCTGCAGGATCCTGCAAGATCCCGCGCTCTGACGGACCCCCGTTCGCATCGGCCCCCGTTCGCATTGGGCCCCGTCTCTGTAGAGGCCTCCTAGATGGGGTCGGAATGGATGGGTTCGAAGGATAGCGCCACATCGCCGATACATCGGCGATGCATCGACGATGCATCGGTGATGCACTGGCGATGCATCGTCGACGTCGGCGATGCACCGGCGACGTCGGCGTGAAGCAAATCGAGCCCCACATCGGGCCGCATCGGCGCTGCATCGGCGATGCGGCGCGATCCTCCGACCCCATCTAGGCGGATTTTGGAGGGAAAATTAAAACAATAGTCAAAACATGTTCCCAAATTGCCAAAAATAACAGAAAATCGTCCCCCTACGATTTTTGAACCGTTTCTGAATTTTCTCCCCGCCGAGGGACACGCCCGACTTAAATCTACTCCAGACGAGCGCGTTCCACTACTCGCGACGTGACTACTCGCAAATGGCCTGGATCCGCCAGGGGGGATCTGGCAGAAACGATGTAGAATCAGACATGTGTTTTTGTTCGGGCGTTTGCGAGTGGGCACTCTGCGAGTGGCGGACCGCGCTCGGTCACAGGAGGCCCAGACTCGGACCCTGGGGCCCCGCGGCAACGCAGAGAGGCAGAGAGGCCGGGCCTCTCGTGCGCGTCCGCCGCGGCCGCGGCGGCCTCGGCGCCCCGTGGCCCGCCGCTGGCGAGCAGCCCCTCGAGCCTCGCGCCCAGGGCCTCGCGGCCGCGTCGCCGCGGGGGGGGGGGGGGGCTTGCTGCCAGGCTCCTAGGCCGTTGTGGGCAGCCGTTCTCCCCGTGTCTGCGCCTCTGCCCGTGTCTTCTCCATTCCCCTCCTCCCCCTGCTCCTCCCCCTCCGACTCCTCAGCCTCCACCTCCCCCTCCTCCTCCTCCTCCTCCTCCTCCTCCTCCTCCTCCTCCTCCTCCTCCGCCGTCGATCTCCTTCCCGTCCCTCCTGCCCCGTGCCTGAGGGCGTCAGGCCTGGGCCGGCCCAGGCCCTGGGCCGGCACGTCGAGGCGGATCCGGCCGTGGCGACGAGGAGCTGCCCTGGGCCCCAGGGCAGCTCCTCGTCGCCAGGGCCGGATCCGCCTCGACGCGCCGGCCCGAACGCGCCCCAGAGCAGGTTCTCCTGGTGAGCTGCCAGCTCCGGGGCCCCCTCGGCGCCCTGAATTTTACTTAGGCGCGGCACGGCCCTCCTCCTCCTCCTCCTCCTCCTCCTCCTCCTCCTCCTCCTCCTCCTCCTCCTCCTCCTCCTCCTCCCCCTCCTCCTCCTCCTCCTTCTACTCCTCCTCCGTGCACGTGCACGTGCACGTGCACGTGCACGTTCCTGCTCGCACGCCGGGCTCCGGGCACGGCCCGGCACGGCCAGCGCGTCGCGCTCTGCACTGCGGGCGCGCAGCGGGCACGGCGCGGCGCGGCGCGGCACTCGGCCGGAACTGCGTCGCACAGGGCGAGCCACGAGCAGCAATGTGAGCTCACGTGGCCCCGAAGCAAACACTTACAGTCGGGGCGTTGACCTAAGGAACCCTAAATAAGGAACGAGGCCTCTTTTTTTCCATAAGATAAACTTCGATTTCATATCGAAAACCTATGAAAACCTGAGGCAAGCTGTGAAACACTTAAGGAACGCGGAGCCCCTCCCCAACCAAAAGGGTTCCTTCTTCAGGGCCCCGGCTGTATTCCGATGTGGATGTGTAAGCCACGGGGTGCAACCATGTGGCTTGCAAGCTGTGTGGCGCAAGGCATGCAGTGCAGGCTGCGTGGTGCAATGCATGTTGGAAAGCTTGGAATTGTCAACTCCACTGCTCGCGCAATCATCCAACCCACCCATCCGGAACAAGGGGATTTGCAAAACCCATGCGGCGGCGATTGCGATGAGTGCATGGTGTTGGCTGGTGCATCTCTGCGGCCGCGCTAGCCCGCGCATGCTCGCGCGCAGAACGGCCAGCTAGTTTGGCGCGACCGACGCGGCCGCGGTGGCGCTGACCGCTGGGCACGTCCCAGCGGGCATTTCCGTGCAAGTCGGTGACTTGGGCGGGCACGGTATAATGGCGACGTCGGCAACGATAGAGACGATGATGATAATAGCGATGATGGTGACGATGATGACGACGACGACGGCAAGGCCAATGACAGCACCGATGCTGCTCACGCCGATGACTATGATGGTGTCCCCGCGTTTGTGATCAAAATTTCGGAAGGAGTTCGACATGCGCGCGCGGCCGACGCGCGCGAGCGGACCGCAGGATATTATTTGACAGGTGTCGTGCCCCCTCCAGTACGCGCGCAAGGCGTTCGAATGATTTCGACTTGCGGCGCGAGAAACCTCTTTGGTCGCATGTGTTGAGAATGTTGAAGCATGTGCGGTTTGGCCAGAATTCGCAGAAACGCGCGTGCAGGCTGTTCTGACAACTAATGCTGCGAAACCGGGTGTTTTTGAATGATATGTTCCGGGGCACTCGGCTCTGAAATCTCAACGAAACCATGATTTCGGCATGCGTGCGCGGCGACGCGCGCGTGCGCACTTCGTCCCATGTTTACCATGGGTTCTTGCGACAGCACGCGCGCAAGGGTGTTCGAACGAGTTCGACACTCGCGCGCGAGAGGCACGTTTGGCAGCATTTGATGGTCATGTTGAACAGCCTGTGGCTTGTTTGAGAAGCCACAAGAGCGCGAGCGCAGGCATTTTGTTAAATCACACCAGGGGAACACCCCAATCAGCGGATGGCTTGAACATTAGTGATATGGATATTGAGGACGATTGTGAGATCGATCGTTGAATCGATAGTGAGGGCGATTGTAAGGTCGATCGTGAGACTGATAGTGAAGTCGACTCAATGAGATCGAAAGTGATATCCATCGTGAGATCGCTCGTGCGATCTATAATGAGATCGATTGTGAGATCGCTATGGGGATCGATAGAGAGATGGGTGATGGGATCGATGGTGAGACCGATCGATAAAAAGATCGACAACGAACCGGGAACCCGGGAACCGGGCCACCCACCGAACATCGGCCTGGCATTTTCGCCAAATCCTTCAATTACACCAGAGAAAAACCCCAATCAGCGGATGGTTTGGAAATTCGTGATATGGATATTGAGGACGATTGTGAGATCGATAGTGGAATCGATAGTGAGGACAATTGTAATTAAGGTCGATCGTGAGATCGCTCGTGCTATCTACATTGAGATCGATTGTGAGATCGATACTAAGACCGATTTTGGGATAGATCATGAGATCGATGAAGAGGTGGGTAATGAGATCGATACTGGAACCGATCGATATCAAAATCGACCAAAAACCCGGGAACCCAGGAACCTCCGCCCAGAACGGGGAAGCCAGGGACCCAGAACCGGGAACCCCGGAACCCGGCCGCCCACCAAAATCGGCCCGGCACTTTCGCCAAACATTTCATGTCCGCCAAAACATCTTTAGTGCAAGCGCTGATTGGGGAATCTCCGCTAGGACCTCTTCAGTGCAAGCGCTGATTGAGGAAAAGTGCGGTTGCGCAGCGATTGGTTTTCAATCTGTTTTCGGGACACTGGATGTTGAAATATTCGCGAAACCCAAAAAGTTGTTGACGGATCTCGTCATGGCTCTTTAAAACAGATGATTTCTGTAATGTGTTCTTGTAAACTGATGATTTATATTGCGCGAGTGCGCGCGCAAAGTACCTGCTGCAGGGGATGAGGGGGGGATCGATAGTGGACTGCCTGGAATGGTACGAATTCATACAAATGGTGGACGATAAAGCAGAATCGCGTAGGCGTGCCGTCAAGCTCAGGGGGGGGGGCCGGGGGGGGGGTAGATCCGAATACCTGTCAAAAAATTGAGAACCTACGTGGTGCAAGATGCGTGGTGCAAGCTACGTGGTGCATGATATGTTGCGTTTCTTGTGGCGCTAGCTGTGTTGTGCCAGTGATCTGGTGCAGGATGTGCGGTGCAGGCTATATTCTGCAGTCTACGTCGTGCAAGCCATGTGGTATAAGCCTGTGGTGTGAGCCTATGTGCTGCAAGCTATATGGGTGCACGCTACGGTGTGCAGCCCACGAGATGCAATATACACGTGGCGCAAGCGATCGGTGCGCCCACGGGCGGGCACATGGCACAACCTCGGAAGATCGGTCCAACGACTTGATGAGAACACCGAGCAAATAATTCCCCCAAGTGCGAACTCTGTTCTGGGAGAACCACGGTGTTCCTCAGAGGTCAGCGGGGGCGCTTGCAACGTCGGGGATCCAGGGGTGCGGGGGGAGGGAGAGGTGGGAGGAGGACGTTGAGGATAGAGGAGCAACAAACTGTATGCACATAAACAGTTGGAAGTCCGCGCGGAGCGCCAACAAATTATGCTTGTGCCGTGTTTTTGGTTCTTCGGGAGGAGGAGGGAGAGGTGGGAGGAGGACATTGAGGAGGAGGGGGGCGGATAGAAGAACGACAAGCTTTAGGTCGGGCATGTCCTCCTACAGGCGGACTTCGGGCAACAAATCGAAAAATACATACAACTAAAACGAAAATAATTGCCGAACAGATTCGAAACAACGTCCCTACAATATTGTTTTAAAACTATTATTGAATATTCCTCCTGTAGGGGGGCATGCCCGACTCAAGACAAGCGGCGTAAATGTAAATGCTCGGAGGTCCGCCCGGATCTCTTGGGCCAGCGCTCCCTGGCGGCCCTTCTTCGGCGCCGACGCCCTGGTGTTAGCTCGGGCGTGTCCTCCTACAGGCCGATTTTTGATGAAAGAATAATGAAGATGATTCCAAAATCATCAAACAAGAATCAATGTATCGTCCCCAGACTATTGTTTTGCTCTTGTGGGATATTCCTCCTGGAGAGGGACATGCCCGACTTAACCCTGATACGTTTTCACCCCGCGCGCTTGGGGGGCGGGGGGGGGTCCAGCGCCGACCCCGGAAATCCGCACGACACTCCGACGGTCTGTGCTGATGCAGCAGCTCACTGCACCCTCCCCACAGAGGAGAAAGGCGATGACGAGGAAGACGACGACGAGGGAGAGGAAGAGGAGGAAGACGACTACGAGGGATCTGTGGACCAACGGCGAAAGCCGAAACATGATTGCAGGCCCCCCTCCTTCCTCCGCCCTCCTCCTCCTCCTCCTCCTCTTCTGATTGTCCTCCTCCCCTTCTGGAGGAAGAGGAGAAGGACCCAGACCTCCGATGCCTTGCTCGTTTTCAATACGGGGTCCCCGCCGGAGCTGTGGACCATTCCCCCGGGACAGGCTTTTCGCCCCAAGTTGTTCTGTGGAGGGTCCCGGGGGGCCCGACGAAGGCACCCGGAGGCCGAACACGACGAACACCCGCCGTCTTGACTTCTCCCATGTGTTTCGAGGTTCTACAAGCCTCGTCATAAATAAACAGAAACGCAGTTGGAAATCACGACGATCGATCTTCTCGGGCACTTGATAGAAACTGCGTTCTTCAATGCTGCGGAGGGGTCGTCGGATTTTTGAAGCCCTTGCGTCCACGTCAGATATCTAGCGTCAGCATTGGAGTAGCGCTGACCATACAATCACCGAACACAGAATCCCTCAGTTTATTTTTGACGAGGGTTGTAGGAGGAGCAGGGTGGACCCTTGTTCTTGGCCGCCCCGATGCGCAGCACGCAGCACGCAGCGCAGTGATGCGGAGCTCAGCACGCAGACTGAAAGCGCGCAAGTCTGGGGCCAACGCGGCTCGCTTTGACACGGACGATTTGAGCACGGCGCATGTTTAGAGGCCTCCTAGATGGGGTCCGAATCGATGGGGTCGATAGATCGCGCGCCATCGCCAATGCATCGGCGATGCATCGGCGATGCATCGGCGACGTCGGCGATGCATCGGCGCCGTCGGCGTGGGGAAAGTCGGGCTCCACATCGAGACGCATCAGCGATGCGTCGGCGACGTGGCGCGATCGTCCGACCCCATCTACTCGGGAACCCATCTGGGAGGCCTCAAGCGTTGCGCATCGAAACGGGCGTATCGAGGCAGCCAAAGACGGGCCGTACTGTTGCCCCCCTCCGACGCTCGGGGCCTCGAACAGCGGCTCGTTGCGCACGCCGAGCTCGGCGTAGGCCGCGAGCAGCCGCCCCACGTCCGCGGGGCCGAAGCCGTCGCACCTCGCTATCGCCGCCTCTTCGGGGGCAGCCGGGCCGCGGCCCCCGCGGCCGCGGCAGGGCGATCGCCCGTGACTCCTCCTCCTCCTCCTCCTCCTCCTCCTCCTCCTCCTCCTCCTCCTCCTCCTCATCATCATCATCATCATCATCATCATCATCATCATCATCATCATCTTTCTCCTCCTCCTCCTGTTTCCTCCTCCTCCTCCTGTTTCCTCCTCCTCCTGCTCCTCCTCCTCCTTCTCCTCCTCCTCCTGCTCCTCTCCTCCTCCTCCTGCTGCTGTTCATCCTCCTCCTGCTCCTCCTCCTCCTCTCCACCTCCTCCCTCTCCTCGATCATCTTTTCTCCCCCTCCTCCTCCTCCTGCTCCCTCCTCCTCCTCCTCCTCATCGTCATCATCATCATCATCATCATCACCATCATCATCTTTCTCCTCCTCCTCCTGTTTCCTCCTCCTGTTTCCTCCTCCTCCTCCTCCTCCTCCTGCTCCTCCTCCTCCTCCTCCTCCTCCTTCTCCTCCTCCTCCTCCCTGCTGCTGTTCATCCTCCTCCTGCTCCTCCTCCTCCACCTCCTCCCTCTCCTCGATCATCTTTTCTCCCAACCTCCTCCTCCTCCTCCTCCTGCTCCTCCTCCTCCTCCTTCTCCTCCTCCTTCTCCTCCTCCTCCTCGTCGACCCTGTCGACCCTGTCGTCGTCGTCGACGATTTTGCCTTCCGCACAACAGACGAACTCCGTCTCCACATCGCAATCTCAACTGCCTTGCCAATCAAGAGAGTCGCCAGCAAAGCTGGGTGCAACCCACGAACCGACCTACGACAAGCAATCTCATGATGTAAACTGTGGCCCGGGCCGGGGGGGGACACATTGCCCACGCAGGCCGAGGCGGCCCAACAAGAGCGCCTGCCGCGTTTGTTTCGCGACGCTCCCGCCGCGCGCTGCCGCAACCTCGAACCTCGATGTTCCTTTGCTTCAAAACATGGCTTCCACAAGGGCCTCGACTCCTCCTTTCCCGAGAGCCGACTTCTCATCCTGAGCCGCCTCGTTCGACGGCACAAGGGCCCGGCAAGGACCCCAGAAACAGAAAACGACCCCAGACATCCGATGTCCAATTCTCTTCCATACGGGGGCTCCGAATCCCCGACCATTTCCCCAAGGCCAGTCTTCTTTATCCTGGGTCGTTTTTCGACGGCCCCAGGGCTCGGCGAGGGCCCCCGGAGGCCAACAACGGCCAAACACCTGCCGTCGCGACGCGAGAATGTTTGGAGCCCCAGAATTAGGTCGGGCATGTCCCCCCTACAGGCGGATACACAAAAAACGCATAAACATATTCAACAATAGTCATGTGTGTAAACATATATATATATATGTATATGTGTATATATCGCAAGACATGTGTTTTTTGTTTTCTCTCTCTCTCTCTCGATATATATATATATATGTATATATATATATATATATATATATATATATTCATCTACATATGTATATATATATATGGAACATTGTCTCCAGACTATTGTTTGACTCTCTTTGAATACTCCTCCTGTAGAGGGGCAGGCCCGACTTCACCCCCGAAACCGAAGACGACGAGAATCCATCCGTCCTGACGCCTGTCGTGGCGCGAGGGGGGGATCTGTGGAGGCCCCCCGCACTCTGTCCGAGTGGAGATGGGGTCGGAGGATGGCGCCGCATCGCGCCGCCGATGCATCGGCGACGTCGGCGTGGAGGATCGACTCTTCTAAGGGGGCTTTGCGTTGAGAGCGTTTCTGTATTCGGCGTTTCGACATTGGGAGGGAAGGGGGGGGAGGGGTGTCTGGCTCGGGACCTCTGCTTAGTGCGACTGTTTGCAGCAGTGCGTCCTACGGGGGGAGACTCCACCCGCTCGAGACAGGCGCCCCCAAACAGCCAAGATCTACTCCATGTGTGGGGGAGGGGGGGGTGCAAGGGCCCGCGCCGATCGGCAAAAGAACGAATCCCAAAACGCTCACGTTCGTGAAGGATGTTTTTCCCAGAGCTCTCTCGGGCTCCCCCGCCCCATTCCCCATGCCTTCTGGGCGAAGGCGTGGGGCGGTTTCGCCGTTTTTGCTGTTGTCGGGGGGCCTCCCGGCGCTTTCTGCCTGGCCCTCTGCTCTGCTGGGGGCTTCGCCCTGTCTTCCTGCCGCCGCCCTTGGGCCGCGCCGGCGGGCCCTCGTCCGCCGGGGGACCTCTGGGGAAACATCGGGCTCCACATCAAGCGACATCGACGAGGCATCGGCGACGCGATGCGGCGCGACCCTCCGACGCCACTTACTCGGACCCCATCCAGGAGGCCTGTAGCTCAACCTTGAACGCCCGCGGCGGGGTCGCCGCTGGCCGACACGACGCGAACCTACCGTATAAGCCTGGGCGTCCAGGAGATGCATCGGCGACGTCGGCGTTGAGGACACCGGGCTCCACATCAAGCGACATCGACAAAGCATCGGCGACGCGATGCGGCGCGATCCTCCGACCCATCTGCTCGGACCCCGTCTGGGAGGCCCAGAACTAGGTCGGGCAGGTCCTCCTGCAGGCAGAGCTTGGCAGAAAAATAAAGCATGGTCAACAAATCATCACAAGTAGTCAAACAAGCACGAAACATCGTTACCCGACCTTCTTCTTACTGTTCTTGAGTAGTCCTCCTGTAGGGGGACGTGCCCGACTTACGCCTAGAATCTGGGGACGCGGCGCGCACGGGGCCTCCGCCAGCACGAACAGGCAGCGCACGTCGCGTTGCCTTCGGAAGGGCGCCAACTGTACACCCACACCGGCCCTGGCTGGGCTATACGGCAGGTTCGTGCCGTGACGACCCCGGCGTTGGTTTCCGACACCGCGTGGATCGTTCAACCTGGAACGGTCGGTGGCTTTCCGATCGCCCGATCGTTCCATGTAGGCCGACTCTGGGCCACTGGCGGCGTTCGTAGAGGCCTCTTGGATGGGGTCCAAGCAGATGGGGTCGGAGGATCGCGCCGCATCGCCAATGCATCGGCGCCAGCGGCGCTGCATCGGCGACGTCGGCGTTGGAAAACTCGGGCTCCGCATCGAGCCGCATCGGCGGCGCATCGGCGATGCGGCACGATCCTCCGACCCCATCTCGGGGATGGACAGACCCCCTTTTAATAAAACGTGGCTTAGTGAAAACGACCTGAGGCCCAAACCTGGCGGGCGCAGGCCTGGAAAGTAACGGCCACGGCGCCCTCTCGAGAACCGAAAACGGACAATTCACTAGTCGACGTGTCACTGTTGGGAGTTCGGTCCACTCCCGACCATCTACTTACCCCAGATTTCGTAATAAAAGGGAGGGGGTCTGGACCCTCCAAGACAAGCCATTTCAGACCTCCCCCGTGGGAGAACCCTCCGAAACATCGTCCCCGGACCCCCCCAGGCCCTCCAAGATAGCCTGGAAGAGACCCCCCCCGAAATGAGACCCCCCTCCCTGTATTACGAAATCTGGAGTACTCGGACCCCGCCCGGGAGGCCTCGAACTCAACCTTGAGAACGCCCGCGGCGGGGTCGCCGCCGGTGGACACGGCGCGAGCCTGCCGTAGAAGGCCTGGGCGTCCAATAAGACGAGAGGTGCGCGCGTGCCGCCCAACGCCGGGCCGGGAGGGCGCACCCCGAGATCCGACGTGGCGAACAAATGCAGCATCGCGAACAATCACGGCTGGAACCCCAAAATTAGGTCGGGCATGTCCCCCTACAGGCGGATTTGGGACGAAAAATTAAAATTACTCCGACGGAAGAACCCCGCATAAGAATCCTCTGGGCGAATCTGGACAAAGCCATCACCGTCGTCCTCGTGGTTGGTGAGGCGTCCTGGCTGTCTCTTCTGCGTATATTTCCTCTCGCCTTGGCGCGGGCCCCCCTTCCACTCCTTACGTTGTCCCCATCCTCGCCCCCCTGTTTGTTCCGCGCCCCGCCACCTCCTCCCCTTCCTGTTGCATGAGCGCGCATGTCGATGTTCCTCGGCGCCGTCGCCGCCACGGCCAGCACAGGCGCGTTCTCTACTGGTCACGTCGCGCAGCCGTTGGGACAACCCCGCGGGCCAGGCTGTCGGGACAACCCCGCGAGCCGTTGGCGCGCAAGACCAAGCCGTTGGGACAACCCCGCGGGCTTCGAGCGAGGCGCAGCCGCGCTCAGGCGGAAGGCAGCACGAAGCCCAGCTCTGCCGCGAGCTGCTTCGCCTCCGCCCTGGACAAAACCGCTCTCTTGTCGAACTCCAGGAGCGCCTTCCGCAGGGACGCCGGCGGCCCGCACTCCAGGAACTCTCGCGGCGGCGGCCGCAGGATCAGCATGTTCCGCATGCACGTGGCGCGGGAGAACATGACGTAGAGGTGCAGCCACCACTGCTCGTCCGACATGCCCGTGCGGCCAGCGTCCTCGTCTCTCGCGCAGTCGATGGTGACGCCCTTGCGCAGCGTCTGGCCCTGCGACAGCGTGGAGGTCAGGTAGGACGCGTGCGTCAGGGTGAACCCCGAGCGGCGCACGCTGTGCGCCCCCGAGCTCTGCCATGTGAACTCCCTTTCGCTGGGCCTGAACATCAGCAAGCTCCGCGCCCGCGCCTCGGCCTGGCCGTCGTCGTCGGCGCCTTCGGCGCCCTGTCGCAGCACCTCGGCGACCTGAGGAGCCCAAAAACTTCCTTGTTGCTTCCAAAATGTGGCCTGGGAGCTGCGTTCTGGCAGCGCGAGAACCCAAAATTGACGACAGTTACAGGTTTTGGATGACCCGCTCGGATTACCAACATGATCTGCGGGCCCCATAGGGAGGGGGCTCCCGCCTGAGACTTCCTCGCAGTTCACTCACAGACGAGGCTCCCGCCTGAGACTTCCTCCATATTCAGGCTTGAGGAGCCCAAAAGTGACGACAGTTACAGGGTTCCGATGACCCGCTCGGATTACCAACATGATCTGCGGGCCCCATAGGGAGGGGGCTCCCGCCTGAGACTTCCTCACAATTCACTCACAGACGAGGCTCCCGCCTGAGACTTCCTCCAATTCAGGCTTGACGAGCCCAAAAGTGACGACAGTTACAGGGTTCCGATGACCCGCTCGGATTACCAACATGATCTGCGGGCCCCATAGGGAGGGGGCTCCCGCCTGAGACTTCCTCAGAATTCACTCACAGACGAGGCTCCCGCCTGAGACTTCCTCCATATTCAGGCTTGAGGAGCCCAAAAGTGACGACAGTTACAGGGTTCCGATGACCCGCTCGGATTACCAACATGATCTGCGGGCCCCATAGGGAGGGAGCTCCCGCCTGAGACTTCCTCCCAATTCACTCACAGACGAGGCTCCCGCCTGAGACTTCCTCCATTTTCAGGCCTGGGGAGCCCAAAAGTGACGACAGTTACAGGTTCCGATGACCCGCTCGGATTACCAACATGATCTGCGGGCCCCATAGGGAGGGGGCTCCCGCCTGAGACTTCCTCACAATTTACTCAACGATGATGAGGATGAGGATGATGAGTGGTGGTGAAGATGAGTGGTGAAGAGGATGATGATTGATTGTGAGTGGTGGTGGCGATGATGATGTTTGAATGAGGATGATGCCGATGCCGATGATGATGATGATGATGATGATGATGATGATGATGATGATGATGATGATGTCGTGAGCGTGTGAGAGAGTGCGAGTGATGATGATGATGAGTATGTGAGTGACTAAGCATGTGAGAGAGCATCATCGATGATGCTGATGAGGTTGATGATGAGAGAGTGTGAGTGAGTGTGAGTGGGTGTGTGTGTGTGTGTTCCTGTTCCTGCGCGGGGTGTCCAGAGAAAACAAGAACCCCACTTTGGATGTGGGGAAATAGACCAAACATGAGCAAACATTGTCGAACAGATGCTCGAAAAGGCGTCCCCAGACTATCTTGTGCACTATTTTTGAAAACTCCTCCTACAGAGGGACACGCCCGACTTGAGGCTGGAGCCCTGAACCTGGATCCCATCTTCTGGCGGCATCTATTCGGAGCCGACTGGATCTGTGATGGTCCGGGACTGTGACGGTGCTACCTACCAGACCACTCCAACCCCACCCGAAGACCCGAATTGGACCCGAAATTCGGGTGGGGGGGGTACGGGTTCCATGTGGTTTTTCAATGTTCCCCGACCCCCCCCCCACCCCCCACTGGAAATGGAAGGAAAATTGAGGCCTTCGGGTTGGGTTGGGGTCGCTTGGTGGGTGGTGAGATGGCCCCGGGGCCCGGGAAAACTGGGCGTGAAGAGAAGTGCCACGCTCGGGAGCGGCCAAGAGGGGGGTGTCAAAGAGGGGGGGTGCAAATCATGACCGGCGGCATGTGCGCGGCCCAGCGGGGGGGCCAGGGACGTAACGAAATAAGAGGAGGCGCCATGAGATCTGGGGAAATACCATGGCCCCCGCCACGATATCCCCCCCCCTGGTCATCACCCCTCTTTGCCGCCCCCCGACAGACCCGGATCTCTGGTTGCATGCCGAAATATCCGGGGGCCCCGGGCTGGGCCCGGCCGGGAGGAGCGCTGCGGGTGTACGGTCGGCGCACGCCGCGCTGCCTCGCCCTGGCCAGCGCCTCGCCGCAGAGCGCGAGGTCCGGCGGGCGCATCTCCCCGGCCAGCTTGCACGCGCGGCGCCCCGCCCACTTCCTTCAGGGGGCCCCCGAAGCTCGGGAGCGGCCAAGAGGGGGGTGTCCAAGAGGGGGGGGTGCAAATCATGACCGGCGGCATGTGCGCGGTCCAGCGGGGGAGGCCAGGGACGTAATGAAATAAGAAGAGGCGCCACAAAATCTGGGGAAATATCATGGCCACCGCCATGATATCCACCCCCCCTAGTCATCACCCCCTTCTTTTCCGCCCCCGAGAAGCCAAATCGCTGAGGATGTGAGTTGTGCAATCCAGGCAGGGGGACTTTTTCCCTAAGTTCAGCGTCGTGGGCCCGCTACATCGGGCCCCAGGGCCATCAAGAATGGACCCTGGACGGAAGCTATCCCCGGGGAAGGGCATGGACAAAACTAATATCGGAGGATGTCTGGGGGAGGGGGCTTCCAGGCACTCAGGCTTGTAGCAGCACGTGGGACCTGATCTAGAACAGGAACATACCGTAGACGGATTGACCCTTTCTCTGGCCTTGCAATGCGACGAGCGCAACGGCCGCGTTGTCTATAGACGTATCCACCCCGAATGCGTCTGTAGACGCAAGGGCACCCAATGTATCCACGGACGCTTTGGGCTAGAACGTGAGATCGATAGGTGGCCTGGGCAAAATATCTGGGTCTTCTAGGAGCAGGTCGACTGTGCCCTCCAAACTCGGGCATCGGGGGATGTCACCATCCACCTCACCGATCCTGGCGGGGCATCCCATGTGCAGGCAATACTTCTGTCCATGCCCACCGCAGTATAGAGGCTCGGTTTTTATCCATATCCAGCGCGCCTCGGCCTTGTGGCGCCACTTCCACAAGAAAGTCTGCGACGCACTATAGATAGGGATACAAATCTTGCCCGCACCAGAAACCCAGGCTTAGGTCGGGCAGGTCCTCCTACAGGGGGATTTTGGGTGAAGCAATCATGAACATTTACAAAAGAAACGCTGCACAGTAGCCAACACACATACTCAGACCTCGCCCCCATACTATTTTATGTTTCTTTGTGTTGAATCTTACTTGCAGAGGGACAGGCCCGACGTAAGCCCAGGCTCGGAGCGCCGTCACGCCCTCCTGCCTCGGCCAGCGAAGCACACGTCCGCCGCCCTCTGGCGGCCCCCGCCCCCCCAGGAATGGGCCCCGGCCAACCTCGGTGGGGCGGGGCAGCCGGCGCCCCCCGAGCGCCGGGGGCGGCCAAGAGGGGGGCGTCCAGGAGGGGGGGCGCAAAAATCATGGCCGGCGGCACGTGCGCGGCCCAGGGGCCCAAGGGGGGGGCCGGGGAAGTAAATGAAATGAGCAGAGGGGCCATGACATCGGGGGAGATAGCATTGCCCCCGCCATGAGATCCACCCCCCCGAATCATCAGCCCCCTCTTGGCCGCCCCCGAGAAGGCACCGCGAAGAACTCACGACGGGAAGAGTCCGGGCCCCTGGGCGATCACCCCCCAAGCAGTGCATCCCCCCTCGAGATCAAACGCGAGTTTTTCCCACGACGTGGCGGCGCGCCAGGACCCCAAGATGTCAACGTTCGCGCCGAAAGTGGCGACTGCAAGCACAGACATCGGACCTCGTGGCCCGCTTTCAGCGCGTCGACCAACACGGACAACTTGCGTTTGATTTCGAGGATGGTTGGAGAGTAGCTGCCCTGTGGGTCGACTTTGCTCTCTGGCCCTTCGGAGACGGAGCCAGGACGAGGATCACATCGGCGGAGGATCAATCGAGAATCTCTGAGAGCCGGCGGCTCTGGAGGGTGTCTCAGTCGCCGCGGCCTTCTCAAAGCGCTGAGGAGCGCTCTGAGAGCGTTCCGGAACGATCTGGAACGGTTTTATCCTCGTCCTAGCCCCCTCCGAAAGGATGCCATTCGGCCCCCCCGAACGCTGAACGCTCTGAGAGCGTTCCGGAACGATCTGGAACGGTTTTATCCTCGTCTCAGCCCCCATCCGAAAGGATGCCATTCGCCCCCCCCCCCCCCCCCCCAACGGTTTGATCCTTGTCCTAGCCCCCTCCGAAACGGAACGATCTGGAACGGTTTTATCCTCGTCCCAGCCCCCTCCGAAAGGATTTCGCCCCCCCCCCCCCCCCCGAACGCTGAGCCGCAACTGCTGGAAAAAGCATCCCGAGGCCGGCAAGCCGCCGAGGACCCACGGAGACGTCTGAGACATCCGACGAGCTCGTCCTGAGCCCAGCCCCCCTCTGTGCCGCGTGTCTTTCCTTGTGCCAGTTTTTCGCTCAAATTCTGGCAAGCTTACTTGCGTGGAGGGGGGGGGAGGTCCCTGAAAGTCAGGCCCAAAAGTCACCCCCCCCCTCTTTTTCACCTTCCGGGAGCGCGGCGAGGCCTGGAAGGAACTCTGCACCTCACGCACGCTGGAACCCACCTGCGCGCGCTTTCTGCCCAGCGCTGAAGGGCGGCGGAAAAGGGGGGGGGAATGCCGTGCAGGTGAAGCCGACAGGATCGGAACGAGAATGCGCCCGCTCTTGCCCCCGCGGCGGGCGAGCTCCAGACCACGGCGGCGGCGGCGGGGCCCCCGCGCGGCGGTGCCAGCGCGAGCTCCATGCACCGGGGAGGCGTAAGACTCGGGCTCGGGACTTAGTGGGCCCCGGAAACGGCAGGGCCGTTTTTTCACCGTTTCCGAACAAATGTCCCTTGAAAATGGAAACTTCAAAATAACGGCGACGGAAATGGTAAAAGAACGGCGACGGAACCGGTAAAAAGAATGAGAACGGCGACGGAACCGGTAAAAAAACGGCGTCGGAACCAACAAAAAAACAGCAAAACGGAACCGGTGACAAAAACGGCCCTGTCGTTTCCAGGGCCCACTAAGGCTCGGGAGACTCGGGTTGGCCTGGCGGCGCCACCATGAGAAGGACGAGGCCCACTTCGGAAGTGGGCGCGAGCTCTAGCTGCAGGCGCTGCAGACATCCCGCGGGAGCGGGGCCGGCAAACACTCCGGGACGCCCTCGTCACAAAACGCGCCGGGACGCACTGGCCCGAGTCAGTCCAGACGCGGGCCAGTCGGGCTTTGCAGGATCCTGCAAGGTCCTGCGGGATCCTGCAGGATCCTGCGCCCAAGCCTGAGTCAATGCACCCCCGACTGACCCCCGTTTGCATGGACCCCCGTCTCTTGAGCTCCGAAATCCAGGACATGCGCTGGTCAAAAAGCGCAGGCAGACCCGAGCTCCGGCGCACTCGATGCGGGCCCCAAGAATATACGCCACCACCACCACCTCCATTCCCGTTCCCTTCTCCGCCCTCCTCCTTCTTTCCTCCTTCCTGGGAGAGGGAGGGGGTGAGGGAAGAGGTTGGGAAACCAAAAGGTACCAATAGTTACCGCTACTCCACTGACCTCTCCCGGGGGCGCGTTTTGATTAGAATTTCGAGGAAAATCCGGCGGTGACGACGAGGAGGCCCACAAAAAGGGAACACGGGCGAAGGGTCGCGGCATCGATCCCTTCTTTCTTCTCCGAGTGCTGGTGGTGGTGGTGTACATCTTTTGGCGGCGCGCAAAAGGGGGTGGGGGGAGGGGGGAAGGCTTCTTAGAAGCACAATGCTTCTTAGAAGGTCTCGGCCTTACGTCTATAGAGAAGGCCCGCGTCTTCTAAGAAGCAGGGGTGCTTCTAAGAAGCCTTCCCCCCTCCCCCTACCCCCCCTCTGCGCGTTGCTGAATCTTGGGGCCCCGTGCTCGAGCCCTACGCTGCCCCGAGGTCTGCAGTGCTCCGCGTGCAGCTCGGCGACGCTCTTCACGCGCGGGCGCGCGGAGCGCGCCCGCGGCGGCGCGGCGGCGTCGCCCGCCGGCAGGTCCTGAAGACCCCCATCGAAAAATAAGACATAGCCAAAGATGATGAACGTATGCTGCTCCCAGCGTACTTAAGGACCACATCCGCGAAATATTTACGAGCACCCAGAAAAGCATCGAAACGGTGTCGAACAAGAATCGCCCCCAAGGGCCCGACACTTGAAAGCCCTCAAGTTCCAGTACTTCCTCGGTGCCCGGAATTATTTCTGGCGGTCAAGGCTAAAGCAGGTTGGAACATCAGAACAATAAGACACAGTCAGAGGAGCACGGATAATCGTCACCAGACTATTGAATATTCTTCCTGTAGGGTATTCCTGCGCTCTCCTCCTGCAGAGGGGGCACCATTCTGGAGTATTCCTCCTGAAGAGGGACATGCCCGACTTGAAATTAGCGGCTAGCGAATCAGCTCTGGCAGCTGGCGTCCGGAACGCCCTCAGGCGCCGGAGGCGCCAATGTGCATGCAGGAACGGCGCCCGCCGGCGAAGCCGAAACCAGCTGCACGCAGCAGATGTCGTACGTAACCCCGCCATTCCCTACATCCACCCTCGAAATCAAGCGAAAGTTTTCCCGCGACGTGGCGGCGCTCCAGGACCTCAAAATGTCAATGCTCGCGCCGAAATTGGCGACTGCAAGCACAAACATCGGTGCCCCCTGGGCCGCGTTTCGCGCGTCGACCAACATTAAGAACTTGCGTTTGACTTCGAGGGGGGAGGTGGGGTGCTGGCTGAGCTTGTGTTCACGGTCGCCGCAGCAGAGCTCGAGCCCCGGCCGGGCCCTCAGGGGGGCGGTGGGCGGCAGTGGCATAACACCCCCCGGCTTCGAGCCAGTTAGGAACGCCCTTAGGCTTCGAACATAGACTTCACGCCAAGCGCCTTCTTAGACAGTAATCCAGATCCAGATATACGAACATTCCACGAGGAGAAGAAGCTCCAAGAGAAAGCCCAGGCTCCAGTCCAGAATCTTGACTTTCTTGACCGACACTCGGAGACACTCGGAGTCCAACCTGAGGGGGAGGAGGAGGAGGAGGAGGAGGAGGAGGAGGAGGAGGAGGAGGAGGTGAACGGGGAGGACGGGGAGGAGGAGGACTCTCGAGGTCTCCGAGTGTCGGTCAAGAAGATGGGTGCACGATCGCCGCAGCACAGCTTGAGCCCCGGCCTGGCCCCCAGCGGGGCGGATGGCGGCAGTGGCAGCACAGTCAAATCCGTTGCCCCAAACAAAAAAAACAGCCGATGCGCTGATGATGAGACTCGCCAACTTCTCCACTGAGGGAGAGGGGGGCAGGTCGGGCATGTCCTCCTACCCGCGGATTTTGGAAGACAAGTAACTGTTAAAAATCAAGCAGATTCAAAAGAACATGACAAGTCGTCGCCGGTGTATTTCTTCACCATTCTTGAACACTCCTTCTGTAAAGGGACATGCCCGACTTACGATTCGCGAATCAACTCTCGCAGCTGGTGTCCCGAGCGCCCTCAGGCGCCAGAGGCGCCAATGTGCATGCAGGACCGAAACCAGCTGCAGGCAACAGCTGTCGTATGTAGCAGCTGATGTCGTATGTAGACCGTCGGCCAGCGAGGCCGAAACAGCTGCACGCAGCAGATGTCGTACGTAACGCCGCCATTCCCTACATCCAGCCTCGAAATCAAGCGACAGTTTTCCCCGCGACGTGGCGGCGACCGAGGACCCCAAAATGTCAATGCTCGCGCCGAAATTGGCGACTTGCACAAACATCGGACCCCCTGGGCCGCGTTTCGCGCGTCGACCAACATTAAGAACTTGCGTTTGACTTCGAGGAGGGTTGTACACCCTTGCTGAGAGTGTGGAACACCTTGCCCGAAGAAAGCGGCCCTCACTCCAACAGCGTTTTCTGAACGAGTAGTCCAGGTCCAGCTGTACGATAATTCGACAAGGAAAGCAACTCCAAGAAAGCGCCCAGGTTCCAGCCAAGGTTCTTGAGTTTCTTCAGCGACATGTGGAGTCCATGAAAAGAGGCCTCCTAGATGGGGTCCGAGTAGATGGGGTCGAAGGATCGAACCGCATCGTCAATGCATCGACGATGCATTGGCGATGCGTCGGCGATGCATCGGCGAAGTCGGCGTGGGGAAGCACGGACTCCACACCGAGCAGCATCGTCGATGCATCGGCAATGCGGCGCGATCCTCCGACCCCATCTACTCCGACCCCCATCGAGGAGGCCTGGAACGAAAGTTGAAGATTTTCCTTCTGATTTCGAATGGGTGCACTTCAGGAGGGACAGGAGCACACAGACACAATTAATCGTCGACTCCCAGGAGAATCTAGGAAAATATATGAAAATATGGGAAGTGGGGGGGGGAGACAAGAACCCAGAACATATAGGAAAACTTGGGGGGAATCCCGGGATTTGTGTGCATTTATCTGTGCATCCCTGGGCCCCTTCAACATCCCCCCCCCTTGACGGGCGCGCTCGCCGTGCAGCTGCACCCGCGAGTGCCCCCCCCCGCAGCTCTGCTCTCGCCGCGGGCGGCCCCCCTCTCCGGGCGCTGGCGAGGCACCGGGAGAGACCCGCGGCGCTGCCTGTCGCGCCGGTTCGTCGACCTCGTCGACGTCTGAGCGTCCCCTCTTCCTCTCGGCCGGCCCCCCCCCCTCCCCTCTTAGCCCGCCCCCCCCCCCCCTCCCCTCCTCTCGGGCCCCCCCCCCCTCCCCTTTCTTAGCCCGCCGGCCAATTCGCCTGCTGGTGCCCTGTCCAGCTCCTCGCGGGAGCGGAGCTCGCCGCCTCGCCGCTGACGAAAAAAAAGAAGTCTCGTCGCGCCGGGCATCTTCGCCCAAACCTCGGGCCCTGGGCCTCTCACAGACAGAGAGCCGGCTCGAGGCACGCCGCCAGAGAAATGGGGTCTGCAGGACTGGCCATGAGATGTCGCGACGCCGCATCTTTTCCGCGGCGTCGGATCTCGGGGTCCAAGCCCCATCTTTTCCGCGTTGCCAAGCTGCTGCCACGAGGAATGAATGCCAAGCAGGGGCCTGAGCCCCGGTGTGGCCACGAGAGCGCCGAAGGTGCGCGAGGAGCGGTCTACACCCGGAAAGATGGTTCAGAACATGATGATCGAAGATGCCTGGGCCAGGCTCCCGAAGCTTCTTAACGTAAACCTGGGCCAGCTTTTCTTTGGTGAATGCTGCAAGGGCGAGTGTGCTTAAGAAACTTGGCCAGCTTTCCAGCAAGTTGGCCAAGAAACGCTGGCCCAGCTTTCCCAGGAGAGCCAGGAATCGAATCGATGAGTCGAATCGGCGATCGAACTCAGTCGGATCGGCGGAAATCGGCAGCCAACTCGGGAAGAATCGTATCGGCAGAAATCGGCGGGCTAGCAGGCCACCATTGAGAACTCGGAGCCCCAATCGGAATCCGAAATCGAACCGAATCGGACTCGGAAGCCATCGAAGCCGAGTCGAATCGAATCACATCGGAGGAATCGAAACGAGCCCTGACTTCTCGGGAGGAGGCTTCTCGATCCGATGCTCGGGAGTAGATCCCTTCCCTGGCCATCGCTCGGACGTCCATTTCCTGTGTTTTTTGTTGTCGGTGTCGTGCGTGGCTTTTCCGCCAAGTGCTCAAGGATGCTCCTCGATGGTCCTCGCCGAAGGAAAAATGCACACGCCCGAGCGGTGCCAAGTTCCTTGCCGAGCCAGGGAGGCGTGCACGCCGGACCCGGGCCCAGGTTGGGCCTGCCCAGCGGCAGCGGACGAGCGTAGATCCATCGCGTCGCCTGGGAGCGGGTGCCCGTCCCCAGTGACGCGGGAGCGCCGCCGACCGAGGGGGGGAGAAGGAGGAGGAGGAGGAGGAGGAGGAGGAGGAGGAGGAGGAGGAGGAGGAGGAAGAGGAGGAGGAGGGTGGAGGAGGAGGAGGAGGAGGAGGAGGAGGAGGAGGAGGAGGAGGAGGCATCCTAGACTCCCTCGCTGGAGGTGGCCCCGCCCGTGGTGGTGGTGGTGGTGGTGGTGGTGGTGGTGGTGGTGGTGGTGGTGGTGGTGGTGGTGTCTCGGGGATCTACTGACCTGGGTCAGTGCAGACCCTTGTCAGTAAGACTTTGCAGGATCCAACAAGATCTGGCGCTCTGGCTGACCCCAAGTTGCATCGACCGCCGCCTCCTGAGCCCCGACCCTCGTCGCCCGATCTGCCACGGGCTACCAATCTCCGATACAGTCAACCCGTATAGTACGGGTTCACCGCAAGGATGTAAGGGTCATGGGCGCCGATGCCGAGGCTCTTTGAGCGGGGCTGGCCATCGGAAGTGGCTGAGGATGGACCGTAGAGATGACCGAAGAGGCACGGATGCAAAGGTTAGGTCGGGCATGTCCCCCTACAGGCGGGTTTTGGGAGAAAAGTCAAAAATAGTCCAACAATATTCAGACAGATTCAAAAATAATCAAACCAGCATCCCTAGACTACTTGTTTTACTATGTTTGTATATTTCTCCTGTAGAGGGACACGCCCGACTTGATGCAAGGGGGCACCCTTGGGAAGTCGCTCCTCATTGCTGTCAGGGTCGACTGCAGCACCCCGAGCGCCGCCGACCGAGGCAGTGGGGCAGGAGAGCCCAGAATCGAATCGACAAGGCGGATCGGCGATCGAAATTACTCGTATCGTTCGGTCGGGCATGTCCTCCTACAGGCGGATTCTGGGCGAACGTTAAAAATAGTCAAAACAAATTCAAAAATAGCCAACAATAGTAGAACATCTTCCCCAGACTATTGTACTATTTTGAAGTATTCCTCCCGTAGAGGGACAGGCCCGGCTTAATCGGATCGGCGGAAACTCGGCAGCCGCATCGGGAAAGGCCGACTCGGCGGAACTCGGCAAGCTCGGCAGGCCTCCTCTGAAGCATCGGAGCCCCCAACCGGAAAATCCCACATCGAATCGGCACCGGCATCGACAACCCCTCGAGAAGCCACATCGCATCGACCCGGCGGCATCGAGCAACGAGCCCCCCTCCGAGGCGGCCGCTCGAGCCCCGAGGCTCCTGCGGCACGGCGCGGCGCTGCACCGAGACGTAGCCGCCGCCGGGCGCCGCCGCCCCGCCGCTCGCGCGGGCGCCCGCGGCGCCGGCGCCCGCCGCGAGAGGGCGGAGGGCCCCGGCGGCGGCCGCCGCCCGCCGCAGCGGCGCCCACCGCGGCGCGGCGCGGGGCAGGGCGCACGGCCAAGGCATGGCCGCGGCGCCCCCGGAGGCCCGGCGTCAGAGAGGGACAAGGCACCCACGCTCCTCCACCCTTTCTGCCCGTTCTCCCGCTGTTGGGGCCTCCTGGGAGGCCCTCGTCGGCACCGCTGGCGTCGCCTCGAGGTCCTGGTCCGAGCGCACGTTGGAAGAGATCCGGGGAGCAGCGGCATCGGTATCTTTTGGTTTCCCCACAGCAGGTCCGCCTGCCCGGCCCGCCCGTCTTACTGTGTGTAGGCGGCCACGTGTGAACCCTAACCCCCCGCCCCCCACTATTTCGAAGGGGGTGTGTGGGTTCACTCCGCTCGGGAGCTCCCAATCGAAGTGAGCTCCCACCCCGCCTTTCGAAATCGTGGGGGGCGGAGGTAGGGTTCACACGTGGCCACCGAATGTGGCGGACTCTGGAGACCCTGAACCCAGACAGGTTGTCGTCTCTTGCAGGGCAGCTCTTTTTGCTTCCGCCGCCTTCCGCCCGCCTTCCGCCTCCGCCTCCGACGGCGGAGGCGGCCTCGTTGTTCTGCTTCCGCCGACCCTCCGCTGCCCGTCCGCCGCCCTTCTGCCGAGGAAGAGATGGCAGCTCCTTCGATCCTCGAGGGCAAGGCCCCTTTTTTGGAACGCCTCGTGCGGGTGATGAAAAGGAAGGAAAGGGTCTTGCGCGGAGCGAATGGCGACCATGCGCGGTGGCCTACACGGGCCGGCCGCCAGCGCAGCACGCCACAGTGGAAACGGAAGCGCTCACCGCGCGACCTGGGGCGGCCAGCTTGCGCGCCAATGCCGGCGTCGTCGGCCCCGTCTTCTAACGTCGCTTATGTCGGGCTTTCGCCAGGAGCTGGCATGAACAACAAAAACAAGGGAGATGCGTTCATAAGCGACGGGGATGGGATTCGAGGGTTGTGGGCATGTGCCAGTGCTGAACGGCACGCGGGCAATGAAGACCGATCGCGATTACAATGATGTTTGTTGCTCCTTGTGTGTAGGAGTGTGTTGACGTGTGCGTGTGTGCGTGGGTGCTTGTACGTGCGACGTGTGCGTGTGCGTGTGCGTGTGCGTGTGCGTGTGCGTGCGTATGTGCGCGTGAGTTCTGCCACCTGCACTACAAGCCTGCGCATGCAGAGTGAGCTCTTCTCCCAGCGCGATCCCGGGCAGCTCACTGATCTGCTTCGGAGCTTCGCTCCACCGACGATGTAACTCACTCACGCTCTTGCGCCCGCCGCGCTGCTGTCTCTGAACCTGTTGGCTCTCACGGTGGCTTGTGGAGGCTAGCCAAAACCTCTGAACATATGCTTCGCAGCTCCCAACACCAAGATCACAAGTGGGTCGCGCGCCCACACAGGATCCCCCTCATGATGAAAATCCCGCTGTGCGGTTTCCTCTTTCTCCGCCTCTTGCTGCCCCCTCGGGATGCCTGATGATAGCGAGGCCGTTCCCACGCAGACCACCCAGAGGTCTCACCGCGACCCTTGACAAGATACAGTCATCGTACTACTGGAATTAGGTCGGGCATGTCCCCTAGAGGCGGATTTTTGATGACAAATAACACACGCACCAGAAATATTCAAAACTAGTCAAAAGTAATAGAAAAATTCTGTCCGATATCACGTTTGGACTACTTTTGAAGATTCCTCCTGTAGAGGGACAGGCCCGACTTAAGACTGGAAGAGTGCTGCACAAGGCACGAAGGAGCTTCTCTGGCCAAGGCGAGCGTCGGCCACGAATACCTGTTCCCCACCCTTGATCTCTAGAGGACTCCCAGATGAGGCCCGAGCAGACGGGGTTGGAGGATCCCGCCGCATCGCCAACGCATCGGCGACGCATCGTCGATGCATCGCCGAGGTCGGCGACGCAATGGCGACGTCGGCGTGGAGAATATCGGGCTCCGCGCCGAGCCGCAGCGTCGATGCCTCGTCGATGCGGCGCGACCCTGCGGTCCCACCCACTCTGACCCAACCTACGAAACCTAGAACCTCCTCCTCCTCCGCCTCCGCCTCCTCCTCCCTCTCCTCCCTCCTCCTCCTCCTCCTCCTCCTCCTCCTCCCTCCTCCTCCTCCTCCTCCTCCTCCTCCTCCTCCTCCTCCTCCTCCTCCTCCTCCTCCTCCTCCTCCCTCTCCTCCTCCTCCTCCTCCTCCTCCTCTCCTCCTCCTCCTCCTCCTCCTCCTCCTCCTCCTCCTCCTCCTCCTCCATGCCCTGCGAACCCGAGGAACGGCTCCCGCACACCGGAGCCCCTCCGGAGCCCAGGGCGGCCCTGCTTCGGGCGCCCAAGGCGGTACCCGTGCGACGGCCGGGCTTCCCAAAGGGGGGCAGATCTGTACCGCACCGCGCGCCTCGTGAGCCGGGCGGGCCCGCCGTCCAAGCCCGCCCCGCCCCGCCTCCGCTGCGCCCTGCCGCTGGTACGCGTTGGATGTTCCGGCGCGATCGCTTGAGAGGAGGAAAAGCGGAGCCGATCGGGGACGACGCGAGCGCCCGGGGATCGTTCCACATCCGCGTGAAGGCTGCAGCTGCGCGAAGCCTCGATGCGAGGACGTTTGACACTCGCACCCCGCTGGTGGTGTGTATTGGCTCAGCGCCCAGCATAGAAGAAAAACTGGGGCTCACACCGTGTACGCGCATGGGCTGCCTGGGGAGGGCCTTCCCTTCGCAGCGGGCGGGCTCCCTGAACGCTCACAGGACGTGAAGAACATAAAACTCCACCCCTCGATCCATACCCCTACCATTGGGACCCGACTGATCTGGGATAAACCTGCTCAGGGTAGGTTCCTGTTTTGTGTTCCGCAATGTGCTATGGGAGAACCTTGGAACCGCATGATGCGGAATAACTCCTGTGTCTGGTGTGTGCTGAACAAAATATACATTGGGCAGCATGTGCTCCGGGGAGACCCAAGTTGAGTGCAATCCGGGGCAGCCCCTGCGTGAGAACGGGATGCCCCAATCAGGAGTTCTCCCTGACCCACGCCCTGCCCCCCGATGCCACTGCTCCACACTCCCCTCGCTCTCCCCTCCTCCTCCCGCTGCCTCGAGCTGGGCCAGCCCCCCGACCGAGAGAGAGGCCCGCCGCCGCCGACCAAGAGCAGCGGCCGAGCTCGAGCCCCGGACGCGTAGGGCGCCAAGAAGTCGTCGTTGATGATGACGGGCACGGCCCCGGCGGCGATGACCTCCGTCAGCCTGTGGAGGGCCCCCCGCCCCGCCTTGCACACGCCTGCGCGGCACGGCCCTGCGCGGCACCCTGAGATCCGGGCATCGGGCGCCGCTTAGGTGAGGAACGTGAAACCTTTCGTGCCTCTTTAGGGCCAAGTGGACTTCTAGGGCCCCTAGGGTGAGCAGAAAAAAATACACCTCTCTTCACCCCCCCATTGACCTTCCAGTACGCAACGTCAGAGGGCGTTGCATGTTTTCAAGCTGGGCATTTTTGCTGGGATTCGTGCCGCGGAACCATCACACATATCGATCCGGCTTGGCAAATGTACCAACAAGCTACCAATGTCGATAGGGCTTCGGTCACGATTTTCGCGATGCTGCTGGCGTTCGCAAGGTCGGATCTCAGGGACGGCCCGGCGATGCTCGGAAGCGCTGCCCGCCAGCGTGCGCCTGGGCCGCGTGCCGCTGCACGCGCTGCACCGCACTCCGACGCCGCAGGCCTTCAGCAGGCGCCCACGGCGCAGGACTCTACAATATCACCATCCTCCTCTGTCTAGGCCGCCTCTTCCTCCTCCTCCTACGCCTGCTCCTCCTCCTCCTCCTCTTCCTCCTCCTCCTCCTCCTCCTCCTCCTCCTCCTCCCGATTATCGTTCCCCTCCCGCTCCCACGCCATCCTCCACCCTCCACCTGTCAGACACATGAGCAAACGGCGGGCTTCTTGTTGCGCGTCCGACGTCGGGGGTCGCTTTGGGGCCCCAGAACAAAAAAACGAGCTGGGAAAACGAACTGGCCCACGGGATGGGGTCACGGAGCCAGTGGGCTCAGGGGCCCACGTCGTGATGCTGCTCATCCTCGGCCTCATCCTCCTCCCCCTCCTCCTCCTCCTCCTCCTCCTCCTTCTCCTCCTTCTCCCCCCTCCTCCTCCCTCCCTCCTCCTCCTCCTCCTCCTCCTCCTCCTCCTCCTCCTCCTCCCCTCCTCCTCCTCTTGCTCCTCCTCCTCCTCCTCTTGCTCCTCCTCCTCCTCCTCCTCCTCCTCCTCCTCCTCCTCCTCCGGCGCGTGCTCACTGAGTCCAGATGCCCGCGGCGCTCGCGCCCTGCCGGCTCCGCAGCCGTGGTGTGGAGCGATGCGCCATCACTGCGCAGCCACTGCTCGCCCTCAACGCGTGCGCGGACCTCACTGCGGTGGCTGATGGCCCTTGGGCTCCATGCGCCCAGCGCCTTCCCCGCATGCGCCTATCGCAACACCGCGCGTGACAGATGGCGGATTCGGCCTCGCTATCAGCATAGCCTCCTCCTCCTCCGCCTCCGCCTCCGCCTCCTCCTCCTCCTCCTTCTCCTTGTCATTATCATAAGGCTCCCCCTTCCCCTCCGCTTGCTTCCACCCCCTCTCCTCCATCTCCTTGGACTGGCTTTTTTCTCGCCGAGCCGTCTTTTGATTATCCTGGAGCCCGGCAATGGCCCCGAGAGGACGAACACTGTCGAACACCTGTCGTGGCGATTTTGCTACGACGCGAGCATGTCTGGGATGAGTGATGACCCAAAATGACACCCCCCACCCCCGACGGCGGCACCTGCGGGAATCCCTGACAGGCGGGGTGCCAGGACCAGGTCTGGGGGTGAGATTTCGGCGGCCTTCGCGACTGGCGCTCGAGCGTGGGCCGCTCCCCAAAACCTCACCCCCAGTCGCGGCACCCATTCGGCAAGCCTGCCTCAACCCCGTGGTCGGGTGTGTGTTTGTGTGTAGCCCGCTTTGACCCGACTCGCCGCCGGCGCGCTCGCCCGCGGCCGCTGACTCAAAACATATCCCCACCAGTGGGCGGCCGCTGAGGTGCGTGCGTGAGTGCGTGCGTGCGTGCGTGCGTGTGGTGTGTGTGTGTGTGGTGTGTGTGTGTGTGTGTGGTGTGTGTGTGTGTGGTGGTGTGTGTGGGTCATTCTGGGTTACGCATGAGCGCCCTCCCCTCCTCCCCACACCCCCCCGCTCCATCTCCAGCTGCCGCCGCGGGGTCTGTGCCGCGGGCGCTCTGCTCGCACGAGAGCGGGCCCACCAACCCCAGCGCTCTGCGCCCGGCCCCCTGCGGGCAGCCGTTTCGCGGTGCCCTGCAGCCCAACCTCGGTCGCCAGGGGGTCTGCGCGGGCTGGGGGCGTTCTCTACTGCGTCGCGGCTCCTGCTGCTGCTGCTGCTGATGTTCCTCCTTTCCCTCCATTTCCTCCTCCTCCTCCCCTATCCTCCTCCTCCTCCTCCTCCTCCTCCTCCTCCTCCTCCGCCTCCCCCTCTACCTGCTCCCGCGCATCCTCCCTGCTGCTGCTCCTCCTGCTGACGACGCTGACGCTTAGGACCTTTGGTTCTCTTCAAGGGACTGTGGCCCGCAGCTCCACCTCCTCCTCCTCCTCCTCCTCCTCCTCCTCCTCCTCCTCCTCCTCCTCCTCCTCCTCCTCCCCCTCCTCCATCCCATTTCCTGATCAGTGAATCCTCCCTGTCGCACCCCCAGCCTTGCCTTCCGCCTGAGTCTTTCTCACCATGTCTGCTCCAGAAGCTCGAATGTTGCAACCGCTTCATGGATGGAGGGCGGCTCCGATTCAAAATGCGGCTCTCGCCTTGGCGGCGCGCACATTCGGCGCTAAATTCTGCAAAGTTGAACTGGTAGGGAGCGGTTCCTTTTCAACATCTGGCTCTGGCTTCAGCATTCTGGCATGATTTAGGACTGTCAAGACGCAACAGTCATGTTGATTCGTGGCGCTGCAATCCCAAAAATGGCGTTTGGTTATTCTCAAGACTTTTCAACGGTTGTCTTCCAAAGGGGCCATTCCCGCAGTGAAAAGAAGTTCCTGTCAGGACTGGCGAAGAGGGAGCTTGCAAGGAAGGCTACTTGCAACATCGCTGATGCGTCTTGGGCTTGCACTGGTCCTCCTCCCTCTCCTCGTCCTGCCGTGTCGCCACCTCATGATCATGATACAGGCCTCGGAACAAATTAGCGAACACATGCCACGTTCATCCGTCAACGCCTCCCCCTCCCCCCAATGTTCAAAGTTGGCGGTAGGTCTGATGAGACGAAGTTCGACCGCAGTCTCCCCCGCGCGTGGGGGGAGGGTGAGTGTTCACTAATTGTTTCCCTCTACCGTACACTGTAGCCGTGCCGGACTGCTGTGGTGGACGAGCCCCCGCGCCCAGCTCCGACGCGACGACGACCTCGTCCGGTGGCCTGTGGCTGTAGTGCTCGCTCCCCTTCGGCACGATGCCGAAGACGCTATCCATGAGGACCTCGGCCTCCTCCTCCTCCTCCTCCTCCTCCCTCCTCCTCCTCCTCCTCCTCCTCTTGCTCTGCATATTCTAGTTTTCCTTCACCCTCCTCCTCTCCTCTCCTCCTCCTCCTCTCCTCCTCCTCCTCCTCCTCCCTCCTCCTCATCCTCCTCCTCCTCCTCCTTCAAGCTCCCCCCTCCCCTAGGTCCTGACCACCCGCCCTCCTTTTCCTCCCTCTCCTCCCTCGTCATTCCCATTGGCCTTCCTCCCCCCTGTCCTCCTCCTCCCCCTCCTCCTCCTCCTCCTCCTCCTCCTCCGCCCTTCCCCGTCCTCGTCCTTCCGAACCCTCCCTCCTCCGCTTACGCTCCTGCGTCACCCAACGACTGGAACGGCCCCGCCCTCCTCCTGCCCGGTGCGGGAACCGCCCCCGCCGCCAGGAAAGAAGCCACGCCCCCCCTCCCTCCTCGGCGGCACCGGAGCTCCTCCTGCCGCCGAGGCCGGAGCTTCGGTCCAACGCTTGCACGATCCATCTGCGAGTGCCGCTGTCGCCCTCAACAGATCTGTCGATCGCGCCATTGGCCATGTCACAAGTGATCAACCGAGCTCACTGCCAATCGATGCACCTTACTCACTACATGGATACGTCGCTCTCACGGTCTCAGTTTATCGATCGATGTTCATGCTCATGTACCGGTCTCCCCTGTCTACATACGAGGCGTCCGCAGCTCACCCACGCGACAGCCACGAAACAACCATGACATCCCAAGACAACCACACGACAACTGCGTGACGACCGTGGGACAACCATGGGACAACCACGAGGCAAGAGCGGAACAACCACGGACAACGACGACGGGACACCTCGGGCCCCCTCAGACCTGGCCTGGCCTACATTGGCCACTTCCCCTCGAGCGCCGACCAGAGCATCCCCAGCACGGTGGAGGTCGTCCGATGCGTCGGCCAACGCCCGCAGACTCGTACCCTAGGCCACCTCACTTTGCTTAGGTCGGGCATGTCCCCCTACAGACGGATTTTGTGAGAAAAATGAAAAATAGCCAAACAGATGCCCAAACATAGTCAAACATGGTCCAAACATCGTCCCCAGAACCTGATTCGACTCTTTTTGAATATTCCCCCCTTTGGAGCGACACGCCTGACTTACAACGTCGCGCATCGGCCTCCCCGATCACCCTCGCGCCCTGTCACCCTCGCGCCGCCCCCCTTCAGAGGAGAGCGGCCGCTCTGGACCAAGCCGCGACGCGCGATGAGCTTCGCGCCCCCTTCGGCGACCCGGTCTGAGGTCGGGCATGTCCCCCTGCAGGCGGATTCTGGACGAGAGATTTTTTTTTTTTAAAAGAACATGCAAGACATACTATAAGAAAACGTCCCCATACTATTTTGATTGGCAATGTTTGAATATTCCCCCCTGTAGAGGGCCGGGCCCGACTTAAACCCAGTGTACCGAAGCACTCCTTTGCCCCCAACTGTGCCTGAACCTACGAGGAGCACCCGAAGGGGACGGCCCAGGGAATCACCCGAAGGAGCCCCGAGCCCCGACTGGAAACAAGAGCGAGCCCTTCTGCTCCAAGGCTGGGCATGGCGACAGCACATCCGAAAGCCGACCGAACCGACGGCGAACTCAAAACCGAGAGGACGGCAAGCAGCCGAAAAGGTCGCCGCGGCAGAGCAACGACAAAGACAACCGACCGAGCCGAACCGACCGAAGAACAAACTGATTGCGCGCGACGCAGTCGAGCCGATCGAACCGCCGTCACACACACAGACACAGACACAGACAGACACACAGACACACACCACACACTTTTTTTGATTCGCGGGTCGAGAGCGCACCTCTTCCGGTCGAAGATAAGCGGGCCGCGCGAAGCTTGAATTAACCAGAGGGACACACAAACACACAGACACACAGACACCCAATTATTCCAGCGTGTTGGATGCACCTCACTGGTGGTGGCCCGTACGCGTGTGAAGGCACGGCCTCTCTTGACGCCGAGACTCCTCGAGGCTCTCGCAGGAAGTGAGCCCGGGCCCCCGGCGTCGTCGTAGGCCTTCTGGTCCTCCCCCCCGCAGAACGCATCGTCTGTGATCTTGAAGCCCTTGGCGCCGCTCAGATTCTGGACCTGACTGGAGGGAGAGAGCTCGCCCCGGAGCTCGGCAACCGCGTGGAGAGAGGTATGGGGGAGGGCAGGAGGCTTCTTAGAAGGAGGCTGCTCCTGAAAAGGCGCAGGCCTTAGATAGGCCCGCGCCATCTCTCGGGTCGGGCGAAAGGGGGGGTAGCAAAGGGGGGGGGGGGGGGAGAATCAGCTCACGTAGCTGATTTTCCCGGCGCCTCCCGGCGCCGGACGCGCCCATGTGTCGAGGAATGGGCCCGGCGGCGGGGCCGAAACCAGCTACATGCAGCAGATTTCGTAAACCCCCGCCCGACCCGAATCTCAGAAGCAGCCCTCCTTCTCCGAAGCCTCCCCCCCGAACCTGCTCCCTCCTGCGCGTGGCCGAGAAGCAGGAGGACGAGGAGGAGACTGGGCTGCTGGCCCTCCCTCCCCTCCCCTCTCCTCTGGCCTCCCCCCCGTGGCGTCCCCATCGTGCTCACTCTCCTGGGGGGCTGGCAGAGCAGGCGAGACATGCGGTGGCAGTGGGGGGGGGAGGGGGGGACGGGGAGGGAAGGAGAGAGCGAGAAGGAACAGGACCAGGCCGGGCGAAAGAGGGGGGTAGCAAAGGGGGGGGGGTTGAGAATCAGCTCACGTGGCTGATTTTCCCGGCGCCTCCCGGCGCAGGGAGGCGCCCATGTATCGAGGAATGGGCCCGGCGGCGGGGCCGACACCAGCTGCACGCAGCAGAGTTCGTAACTCCCCGTTTCCCAATCCCCCCCTTTCGTCCGGCCCGAGACATGTGGTGGCAGTGGAGGGGGGAGGGAGGGATGGGGGAGGGAAAAAGAAAGCGAGAAGGAACAGGAGGGGGAGCATGGGGAGGAAGGTGAGGAAGGAGCCAAGGCACGAGCATAAGAGGAGCAAGACTTGAGGTGATGTGGCTTTGGGGCGCCTGAGCCCCGTTGGAGGGCCCAGCTCCCTGGTGTCACAATCCAGTAGGGTACGGTGGCCCGTGTTGCCGCGCCTGGAACGACCGTGGCCGACGTTCCCCCCCTTCTGGGGCCGGCCACGCAGGCAGGCCAGATGGGGTGCCGCGCCTGCAGCGGCTGCGTGACCGACTCGGGGCCACCTGGGCAGGCCAGATGGAGGAATGGGGGTATTTCGCGCCTGGGGGTGTGGGGGGGGGCCAAGATTTGTTCGCCCAGGCGGCGGTAGCCACCCCGGCTTGGGTCCTCTTGGGCCCCCTTGGGGGCTTCCCAGGCCCCTCTCGGGGGCTCTCTGGGCCCACTTTCTTGGACTCTTGGGTTGCTCACTTGCTGCCTCCATGCGCTCTCGTACGGCCCAACCGAGGAAACCCGCCGTGGGACACTCCTGGGTTTCCTTTTGGGTTCCCTGTAAGCACCATTTGGGGACTTCTTGGGCCTCGTGCTAAGCGTGCGCGGTATGAATATTCCTGGCATGGATTACGAGTATATGCAACTTACTTGCGGCCTACATGCGCTCTTGCTCGCTGTCGCACCCCGCCGAGGTTTTAACAAAATGTGGGCCCACCCCGCCGGGGGCAGAACTTTTGAACTCAGCTCCTGGGACAGACATTTCGGGAGGACTAGACAGCACAGCCAGGATCCAGGACGCATTTCGTCCCGACGCTGCCTGCCGAAGGAAGCTCCAGAAGCGGAGTGCCAGCCCGTCCTCTGGAAAGCTCTCGGCGGAAAACGGCTGGAGCACGGGCCCGACTAGGCGTCCCAGGCTGTGCTTTCGGCCGAGCCATGGCCGGCCGCGCTTTCGGCTGCGGCTCTGGGCGCGTCGTTGGGAAATTCGCGCCGACGAGCTCCCATTTGTATGCGCCTCGCCAGGCAGGTACTTTCGACCGACCTGCTGAAACGCTACCGCAGCCGCGGCCTTGCTTCCGGCGGCGACTCTAGTCGCATCGCCGGGGGTCCCCCACCGACTATGACGAGGCAGCGTCTTTACCGCGCCGAGAGCCGCCGAAGATAAGCCGGCACAGCCCAAGTAGCAAGGGGTCACCCGTGACAATTTCTGACAGGGCATCTTGGCCCCAGAGGAAGCGCGCCGTGCTAAGCGTGCGCGGCGTGAATATCCCTGGCGGCGCGCGGCGAAGCCGAGCGACGGATATATCAAAATGGTCCAAACAAGTAAGAACAATAAGCGCGACTACCTTCGTTCCGCGCCCAGCGGGACGACAACCCTATAATGCTCTCGGCGAAGGACAGATGGTGAGTGCACTGTTGCCTCGCCCTTGCGCCAGCTTCTCACCGCCAGGGTTCCTCTACCATTCGTTCGGGGGTATGCCTTTCGCACCGGCCTCCCCTTTCACTCGCGGGCCTGCTGCTCTCTCCAGTGTTCACGCTGGAGGTCTCGCATCAAGCCGCACCAACGGCGTGTGAATCATATAATTACGCGTATACACATGCTTACGCAGGCATTGTGTTAAACAGCGCTCGCGCGCCCAGCGTGCGCAGGGGGGCGGGAAGTTCTTGGGTGCCTAGCAAAACCCGCATGCGAGGGCAGGCTGCCCATGCCTGTCCATTATTAGGGATGGAGTACGAGCTTTCGATACAAGAAGCGGGTGCCACTGTCTGTACATCTACAGGGTTGTGCAACCAAGCGAACGCGTCGCCTTGTGGACATAGTCAATGTAGGAAGCTGCTGCGCCCGCAACGGCAATTTGGCCGAACCGCGGCCATCTAAGCGGGCCCCCGTGCTCGTATGCCAAGCAACGCCCTTATTGCGGGGTCGGGGTGACCATGGCTGTCCATCGACAGGGATGAACATCCGAACGTTAAGCACTGCGCGTGGATGCCAACACCTGTCCATCGACAAGGGTGGGCATGCATGCCAGAACGTCGCCTAGATGACGCCTTCAGTGTCAGAGGCTGCAGTGTTCGCTGTGGCAATACGGCGTTTTCGCGATCATTGCGAGAGCCATGGCTTTCGGATGCCTGGCAATGCTCTTGTTGCGAAAGCGGGATGCCACTGCCTGTCCATCGACAGGGATGGGCATCCAAACCAACACGACGCCAACTTGTGGCCGCCAGTGTCGAAGGCTGCCTCGCCCGCAACATCGAATGATCGCCATATGGCCAGTGGAACGGGTCAATTTCTTGCGTGCCAAGCAAAACCCTCATTTGCGAGGGCGGAATGCCCATGCATATCCATCGGCAGCGATGGCATCCTAGCATTAGGCATGAAAGCCAGATGCTAACTTTTCCAAGCCATCAAGGCCAAGGCATCCAGGTTACACGGCGCCTACATGAGACCGACGCTGTCGAAGGCTGCCGTGCTCGCGACGGCACTGGGGCCATCAAGCGGCCACCGGCACGGGCCTCGTAACACGACCTCCTTGGGGGGTGGGGCCGTGCCTGGCTGGAATGTGAAGCCATTGACTTATACGCCACTGTTGCCCAGGCACTCACTGGGTAAGGGGCGAATTGCTCAGGGGCGCTGTTCGAATTCAGTGAACTCTGAGTGGCGCCCCGTGCGTCCCCAGACCCCTTCCATATACCCAGTATCGATCGAATGGCATCGGAACGGGGACAAGACGAGCAGGAGCAGGAGGGAGCAGGAGGAGGAGGAGGAGGAAAAGCAGGGACTGGAGGAGATGGAAGAACAAGAGGTGGCGGAGAATCCGCCGACCCTGTGTCGGAGTGTGAGAGGGGCTTGTCCGTTCCCATCGTTCGTTCGTCGTCTCCGTCGTCTCCTGTCCCTGCGCCCACCCTTTCCCTGGGCCAGTCGTCTCCTGTCCCTGCGCTCCCCCTTTCCCTGGGCCCGTCTCCCCTCCTCCCCTTCCCCCCTCTTCCCTGGGCCCGTCGCCGCTCCCCCCCCCGCTTTTCCAGGACCTCCTCCTCAAGAACAACGTTGTCATTGAATCGAAGGGAAGCCCCTTCCCGTTGATCCCTTCCTTGACGGGGAGGGTGGGGGTCCCGGGGGGGGTTCTGGGGGGAGGTGCCCTGGAGGGTCCCGCGTCAGATACGACTCCCCCCCTGAGGGTCCCGGGGCCCACAGAAAGCCTCAGACGGACCAAGAGCCGAAGCATCTTACCACGCCCTCTCCTCCCTCCCACCTCCTCTCTCCATCCTCATCTCTCCTCTTTCCTCCGTCCCCCTCCTCAACCGAACCGGCCTCCTGGACGCTCGGCCACGGGTCACCCCAGGACTCAGAATTTCGAGGTCCCGGGGACCCTCCAGGACCCAGCCCCGAGGACCACTTCCCAGGACCCAGCACCAGGAACCAGCCCCCCCAAAGTCCAGGACTCCCAGACCGCAGGCCCCAGGACCCCAGGACCACTCCTGTACCATGCGGCCCTGCTCGCCTCGTCCTGCTCCTATTCATTTCCCCCTTCTCCACCTCCTCCTCCTCCTCCTCCTCCTCCTCCTGTTCCCCTCCTCCTCCTCCTCCTCCTCCTCGCCCTCCTCCTCCTCCTCCTCCTCCTCCTCCTCCTCCTCCCGCCTCCTGCTCCCTGACGTCCTCCGCCTCCTGCTCCTCAACGTCCTTGTCCTGCTCGTCGTCTCCGTCTGCAGGGTCGGCGGCACCGGCCGTAAGGCCTTCGCAATAGGAGAACGAAGACAAGCAGCAACACCGGTTCTGACAAGGGCACTCGCGGGGCCAAGGATCGGGGGAGACCCCTTCATACTATACTTGCTCGTCTTATTAGTGTACTCATTCTTAGTATTCTTCTGATAGCAATAAGCCTTGAAACTATTATTGCTAGTATTAGCATTTGTATGATGTTGTCACGTATTCTTCTTCTTCTTCTTTTTCTTCTTCTCTGGCCTCCTCCTCCCACTTTTCTCTCCTTCTTCGTGGTCGGGCGCGCACCCCGGGGCCGGTGCGAAACCCACGGGGCGCCGGGGGCAGACAGCGAGCCCGCGCAGGCGCGGGCCCTGTGAGCCCCCCCCCCCCCCCCCAGCGCAGACCCCTCGGGACCGAGGCTGGCCCAGCGACCCGCCCGAGGATACCCGAGAGCTCTCAAGCTGTGACTCCTCCGCCTCCTCGCCCTCTTCCTCCTCCTCCTCCTCCTCCTCCTCCTCCTCGCCCTTCTCCTCTCCTCTCTTCCTCTCCTCCTCCTCCTCCTCCTCCTCCTCCTCCTCCTCCTCCGCCTCCGCCAGCGCCTCCGCCTCCCTCCTCCTCCTCCCACTCCTCCTCCTCCGCCTCCTCCTCCTCCTCCGCCTCCTCCTCCTCCTCCTCGTCCTTCTTAGGACGTGGCTTGCGATTTCTAGGTTCGAGCGTCGGCGGCTACGGCTCGCAACGCATTCACGACATTTTGCACTCATGCGTACGGAGTGGGCATTGGATAAGGAACCCTTGGATGAGGAATCCAGGGTCTTGAAGCCAGTGGAACTCCAATCGAGGATCGGTCATAGATATCACCGCCACCCTCATTGGATAAGGAATCCCCTAGGGTCTGGCGCCTCCTGGGAGCATTCCTTTAAAAAAGCCTCCACCGTACATGCGCACCTACAGTAACTCGTGCAAATCATGTGCAATCGCTAGCTGCAGACGCAACGATGCTGAGCTCAACTTGAGCTGCTCAAGTGCGATACAAACAGCTGCAGCGTGATAAAACACGCTTGAGCCGAGCATTGTTGCGATTGCAGCTTGTGGTTGAAACGGATGTACACGAATTGCTGCAGGTGTGCAGTTGTGCATGAATGCATCATTGCATGAGTGTGTTGCGAACCGTGGCCACCGAGGCCCGAATCTAGAAGTCGCACGTCACGTCCTGGAGCCAGGCAGGAAAAATGCGCAATCACAGCTTGAGAGCCCTTTGGTCTCATCTTGTCGTCCGCAGTTGAACAGGCTCTCGCTGTGTCGATGGGTGAACCGCAGTTGATGGGCGCTCAGAGGGCGCGCATCTTCTCCCAACGACTCGCCCAGCGACCCCCACCTGGGTCCCGAGCGAGCAGACCAAGCGAACGTCCGACGGACGTGCACACCTCAGGACAAAAGGAGGAAGGCCTGAGGGACCAGAAGGCCAGACACCAGGCCCAAGCAGAGCGCAGGGCCTCAATAAAAGTCGCTCCAGAAGATCCGGGCCAGGAAAACCCGCCAGGGGACCAGATACCAGGGCAACCCCACGGTCTACCCTTATCTCTGGTGGGGCGGAAGCCCACGGCCGATCCTCTCTAAGTATGGCCGTGAGCTGCTTCCGACGCGTCCTCGGGTTCTCTGAGAGCAGAGTGGCGCGGGAGGAGGTGGTGAGGGAGGGAGGAGGATGAGGGGAGGGAGGGAGGGAGGGAGGGAGGGAGGGAGGGAGGGAGGGGGGGGAGGAAGGAGGAGGAGGAGGAGAGAGGAGGAGGAGGAGGAGGAGGAGGAGGAGGAGGAGGAGGAGAGGAGGAAAGGAGGTGGTGAAGGAGGAGGAGGAGGAGGACGAGGAGGAGGAGGGAGGAGGAGGAGGAGGAGGAGGAGGAGGAGCCATGTGCCCCGCACAGTGCACCTCGTGGGGCGGCACGGTGGAGATTCCGGCCCTGGCCCTGAAGGGCAGAGCGCACCACGAGCCGGACCCGGCCGCGGGTGGGCGGCCAGCCGCGGCAACCCCGTGCGGCGCGCCTGCAGGGAGAGAGGCGTCGGGTCGGGCGCAGCCCTCTCTGCGTGAGCGCGCTCGGAGGTGATCCACCCGTCCGGACGGCTGTCGGTCAGCGTCTCGCTTCGGGAGGGACGCGTAGCCGGATGCCCTCCACTGAGCTGGGCTGGGATCGGTTCTCCTCATTCTTCTCCTGCTCCCACCCCGCTCCCTTCACCCCCTCCTCCTCCTCCTCCTCCTCCTCCTCCTCCTCCTCCTCGTCTCCTCTTCCTCCCTCCTCCCCCTCCTCCTCCTCCTCCTTCTCCTCCTCCTCCTCCTCCGCCTCCTCCTCCTCCCCTCATGCTTATCCTTCTCGTCCTCCTCCTCCTCCTCCTCCTCCTCCTCCTCCTCATCCTCCTCCTCCTCCCGCCCCCTCCCCTCCACCTCCCCTGCCTTCTTCGCCAGGGCCCCGCATGCATGGGCCGATCCGCAAGGCCTGGTCCCAGATCGCGGAGCCGTCCTTCGGCCCACAGAACGACGCCATGTATATCCTGGCGGTTGCGGGCAGCACTCCTCGAGTCCCAGTGTTCCCATCCTCCACTCGCTTCTCTATGCGCCCCCCTGTAGGAGGGCACCAACTACACACCAACACAGATCCTGGCCAGGACCACCCTGGGCCCAGGATCGGTGTATACGCGCTCCTGCCGAAGGCATATGCACCGATCCTGGGCCCAGGATTGGCCTGGCCAAGACCGGTGTTGGTGTATGGTGTATAGTTGGTGCCCTCCGACCCTGCTTCCCTGCGCCCTTGTCTGCACAACTTCCTCCCGGCCGCCACCAAGTCCGAACATCAGACAGGGCGGCCCCTGGGACCGCAGGCCTCAGCGCGCCCGCGGAACGGACGCCTTCCGAAGCACTCCTTGGACAGAGATGACGGAGAACAGGCGATCAAGCTAGGTGCACTCGCGCCATATCTGACACCCTGCCCCTCCCATCGTTTTTTTTCAGTTGAGTCGATGTGTTCTCTATTTGCGGACGCGTGCCATGACGGACCTGGAATTCCCCAGAAGACTTCACCGTGTTAAGGGCAATCAGAATACGTAAGGGAAGCTGCTGTAACTAATAAGAGTGGGAAGCAGGCAACTGTGGCGGATGAGCCTGAGGATGGAGAAGAGGAGGCGATGGAGAGCAGGGGGGGGGCAGACGGAGTGGGTGGCAACAACAAAAACCCAAGGAAGGCGAGGATCATCGATATAGCTATATGTAGAACAGACACAAACGGCAAGAAACCGTGCGATCAAATCTAGTGTCACGTTTGTCGTCGGGCATGGAGCTATCTGAGGTGCCCCCAAATCTCTGTGGCCCCCAATGTCACTAGTGGGTAATAAGACTCCGCCGTGAACCTGTTGGGCCAAGAGGCTTCCAAGAGGGCCCCGAGACGGCCCACGAGGCGCCCAAGACGGCCCAAGACGGCCCCCAAAACGGCCCCAAGAGGGGCCCAAGAGGGGGACCACGAACCGAAACTCAAGCCTTCCGCCCCAAGAGGGCCCCAGGAGGCCCCGAGAGGCCCCCAAGAGGCCCCAAGATGCCGCCAAGAGGCCCCCAAGAGGCCCCCAAGAGGCCCCCAGGAGGCCCAAAAGAGGCCCCAGAAGTTCAAGAATGCCTCCCAGGCGCCCCCGAATGGCTTCAAAAGACCCCAAGAGGCCTCCCAAAGAAGCATCTTGACGACGACCCTGTTTGGCCCCAAGAGCAACACAAGATGCCAACGAGAGGCTTCCAGCTCCGCCCCTTCCCCTTCCTCCTCCTCCTCATACTTATCTTCATCCTTCTCCTCTCCTTCTCATCCTCTCCTCCTCCTCCTCCTCTCCCCTTCCCCATCCTCATCTTCCTCCTCCTTCTCCTCGGCGGCGCCACCGCCACAATGGCCCCGGGCACACGGCGAAGCAGTAGCGATCATGCAACATGGGCAGGCAGAGTGAGCCAAGCGATTGAATAAGACTCTGCCGTCAACCTGATGGCAGGCCGGATGATTATTTCACGCGCCTGCAAACAATAGCGAGGACGATGGGCAGGCGATCCAGAAAAGGGTAAAATCCACACCAAAAACTGCGGGCAACTGCGGGCACGACGTTCAGCATTGTGAACATTGGAATGCCAAGACCGTAACCAGGATATAGATCATACCATTGTGAATCGCGTGGCTGGCGGCGTTGCCAAGAAGCTCGCTCCGAGCGCGCCCACTCGACCCGAGCGAACATATTTGGGATCCCGAAACGGTGCAGCGCCGGACAAACTGTGACCTCGGAATTCCTGAACACCTCACCGCCCGCTCCGCCACCGCACTTGACTGCGGACCCTGGCGGCCCCAGCCGCGCGAGACTTCCTCGGAGAACGTTTCACGTCACAAAACCGTACGGCCACCCCGAATCCCAACTGACTCACCACACGGGCCCTCCTCCAAATGTTCGGTTCCTGGTCCATAACTCGGGACTCCAGCGGCCGGCCCCCCTCCGAAAAGCTCTCGGCGAGGAGCAGCTGCTGGAGCGTATCCCTAGGCAGGAAAGCCCACAGGAACTCACGAAAACGTCGGACCCCCCTCAGGAATCATGGAAGCAAAAAGAGCCACCACCACCACCAAAACTCCATAGAACTCCGTCCCCAACGAACCCTCCCCCGAGCTGGTGGCGCCTCCGTTCGGAGCACTCTCTGGGGGCGCGCCCGGAACGTGGTGCCACCAGCTCGGGAGCGGGGAGCGGCCAGCCCCCTTAGCTGGTGGTGGAGGTTCTTTCTTCTCTGATAATGGAACCAACGAGAGCGTCACAAAAAGCCCTTCGTCACTGCACCGTTTTGGGGTCGCCGCCGGCGCACCTCCAGCGCGGCCAAAAGCTCGGTCGTGTCTGCGGGGCGGGCGGGGTCAGCTGCTGCGTCGATGCGTGGTTCTTGCAAGACGCAGAATAATGCGATTTAGGCGGGAGGGCCTTGCTAACAGCTGAGAGGATTGGGTCCTAAGCCTCCCCCCCTCGTCGTCGGTGGCGGCGTCGTCCCCCTCATCTCAGATGCTCGCAAGAGTGAGCCCAGGCTTAGGTCGCGCATGTCCCCCTACAGGCGGATTTTCGACGACAAATAGAACATTTTTTTTAAGAAAACCAAAACAACAAACTGGCCAAGAATAGCAAAACGAATCGTCCCAGACGTTTTTGGACTATTTTTGAACATTCCTCCTGTAGAGGGACGCGCCCGACTGAACCCCAGGCAAGAGAGGCGGGGCCGCGGGGGGGAGAAGCCGAGCGCGCAGGCCAGTGCCGGGGTGAGCCCTGAGAGCCCGCACCAAAGGTCAGGTCACTCCGGCGAAGGGTCACTCGTACGCGTGGCGGATACCCTACCTTCGCCTCGTCTCCTTGGTCGTCGTCGTCCTCGTCCTCGTCCTCCTGCTCCTCCTCCTCCTCCTCCTGCTCCTCCTCCTCCTCCTCCTCCCTCTTCTCCTCCTCCTCCTCCTCCTCCTCCTCCTCCTCCTCCTCCTCCTCCTCCTCTCCATTCTCATCGTCGTGGTCAGTTTTTGAGCGGTCCTGGCTCCAGCGACGAATATCACGAAGGGCCGCCAGCAACAATTTTGGCCCTCCCGACGGCATATCTGGAAGCTGTGGGTCCAGGCTCCCTCTTCCTCCTCCTCCTCCTCCTCCTCCTCCTTCTCCTCCTCCTCCTCATCATCGTCCTCCTCCAGCCCCTGAGCTGTTCCGACCACCGATCAACCAAGAATTCCAAGGACAATATCATCCTACTCTTCCTCTTCCTCCTCATACGACCCTCGATTCTCCCGTGGCACGCGGAGTCCTCGAGTTGCAGACCCCGCGCGTCTCCCTCGATTCCTCGATGTCGTCGCGCTTCGGGGGCAGCGGGACAAGCAGGTTGACGCCTGGCGAGGGGCCCCTCCCTCCGCGTCCTTTCATCA